CGGGATCAGTGTTTGATCCAATTGGGAAACCCGTTAGTCTCTTTGCGCTGCCACTTTCTTTGCTCTTAATATACTTGATTTCGAGATTGAATCCACTCAAAAATAATGTCCAACGCTAGAGGCGATCAGCTGCCATTTTTAGAATTCCACCAAAAGTGGTTTGTGGTCAGTGGCCAAGATAAATTCATTTCCTATTATATATTGATGGAATTTACCCATTAAATACTAACGGTTATTTGTGTGTAAACGAAACTCGTACAATTCAATAATTAACTAGTTTTCGAAAATATGATGATCCGCATGCACTTATGAAGTGCAGTGAACGCACTCCGCAAAAAGCATTTGTTTGGACCCGTTTATTTTTTCACGCACTTGTTTGTTCTCGTGCAATTGTATATTCTCCTGAAACAATATACAAGGACTGCAAAACAGAGCTGTCTTCGAATCACACCCACATAACAACTTGTATTTATTGTAAACATCATTTTTGAATTTTCGATTGAGTGTTTTTACAGTTTAAATAAAGTTTTGAAGACTTGGAGTAGTCCTTCCGAGTCTCTTAATTTTTTTTGTTTTTCCTCAATACGGCGTGAACCGAAGTGAACGAAGTTTCAGTAAATTTTGTACTGTATTCATTGTCAGAAATACAAAACACTCCTGTAGAAAACTGTCACTTTTACGTACGTCCCTTACCGGCAGGAAGAGCAACAATATCAACAACACTTAAATAATAAAATATCTATCACACACTTTTTGTACTCGCTACATACAACAAAGCTCCCGAAATGACTCCTGTCGGCGGAAGAGTATCGCGTGCGTAAGAAGAGGGTGAGAAGGGGGATTTCTTCCACAACAGCTAACTTTACACTAAACAAACTGCACTCTTCAAACGAACGTTTTTAATCAACAAACCTTACATCAGATGAAAATAGTTTCGCAAAATATTGAAAAATAATGAATTCAGTACCGTCAAGTATTGACTGAACTTGTGTACTTTCGATAACAAGCAAAATTCATAAAAGTACGTAACAACTAGTCGGACGAAGACAAAATGTACGAAGACACTGTAACAAGTATTGTATTTCTAGGCCAATGACCCCATCTCGATCAGGTTTTGTTCAGTTTCCCTGAGTTCTTGAGCAAATGCTGAGATGCCCCTTGTTTGCTCCTGAACAATAATATTAACTTACGCTCTCTCCACCCGAGCATCATATTGACTCGTTCATTACACGCATTGTAATTGTATTAATGTGACTCAAATATAAATATTATTATTTATTATTATTAGATTACTATTATTATTATTATTATTATTAATATTGGGATTCCCCGGGGATCCCCTCGGTCGACGCGCAGCCAGCCAGTTGGTTGGAAAACCAAAAGCCGGCATCCTCCTCGTGTTAAATCGAAGGGCCAAATAGGAAATGCAGTATACCCAGTTATACAGCCGAGAGCGTGGTGCAATACTCGACAAGGCACCAGACACTGGAGAGAGCGCCGGATGGACGCTCTTTAGTTTCAAAATGATTTCACATCGACATTGCTACAATATCTTGAATATTGCATGCCATTATATGGAAAATGTATATTCCTAAGATATTAAAAGATATTTTTCGATTATCTTCGAGTTGTGCAACCTAAGAACGAGCCGTCACTATCAGCAGATGGTATATCATGCTCATTTGAGACCTCCAACGTGAATGACTTAACCGAACTATGAAAATAGATGCAGACTCCAACACCAGTACTGAGCTGCCTATCATGTCACAACTAATTGTAGAATAATACTGAGACCGTACTTGAGTTAACACAATCCTTTAGCCATGTTTCAGAAACAGCAATTATATGACAAAAAATAAAGAAAGAAACTCACTTGAATTGCCGCACGATCATCAAAATTATGCACAGATATCTGAGATTTGAATCTACTCCCCTCCGATGAGAGAGTTGAAGGATTCATATCGGTATCAACCACCGATAGATCTGGAAAAGCATCCAGGCCAACAAGCGACGTTGGAGTTTATATCACGTGTTCGATAACTGATGCACGCCCAACATGAACTACCTTTAGTTTTTATTTCTGTGTGTATATGTGTGAGAGAGAGGGAGAGAGAGAGTCAAAATGTCTACTACCGCACCGCGAGATGCATGCCATACAGCTCGTACGGCATGTCAGAGATGTCAAAATCCCTAATTAACTCGCATGGCATTTCACAGATGCCCACGAATTTCCCTGGTATATCAAATAAAGATTTCATTGTTGAACCGGCTCCTATCTACGTACCTTTCAAATCGTTGTCAACTTGTTATAATCAAGCATGTTAGAGATAAAAAGATTTCATGTTTCCCAACTTAGAATGATAAATTATGAAGTGCCACAAGGATCTATCCTAGGCCCTATACTATTTCTGTTATACATCAATGGCACGCCCCTGACCATACAAAAGAGCAAAATGGTCATATTTGCCGATTACACAAACATTATTATTAAACCAAATACCCAACAAACTCTACAAAAAGAAGCACAAACAGTCCTAAAAGCATTTGTAAAATGGTTCCAGGAAAATAAACTCATCATAAACACGTTTAACTGTCTCCCCAAACTTTCGGAATCCGCTCTCTAAAAAAAGCCTCCACCACAATTGATGATAAAAAATGCTTGTAAAAATAGCCCCCAAAACAACTCTCCTTGGATTGACTACTCAAGATGATCTAAAATGGAACACTCATATCACAGATCTAAACATGTTTACCGCGTCATGTTGTGCCATATACATCCTCAAGTCAAATTCTAACTTAGATACACTGCGAATGGAGTACTTTGCAAATGTTCACTCGTTCCTAAAATACGGAATCATATTGAGGAAATTCCTCAGAAAGTATTCACATTTTCATCATCCAAAAACGAATATTGAGAACAGTGACAAACACAAACACGATTCCTGCAATCCACTGTTCAAAAAATGACAAATGCTAGTACTCTCATGCATGTACATATGTGAAATATTAATCTTCGCAAAGAAGACACTTATGGGAAATAAGGATTCTGTTACTTTAAACACAGAAGTTCATAACTATGATACTAGACAAAAAAGAAATCTGCCACACAGTGTCCCACACAGTGAAACCTTCTTACTACGTCTAACGAGTGAAACTTCACTCATTCAAAAAAGTGCCCTTATAGAGGGCATTATACTGTATAATAAACTCCCTAGTGAATTAAACTCGAAACACATTCGTAAAATTTTCCTGTTGAACCATACACTCGACAGTACAAAATGATATATACATCATAAACACGTACCTATATCAATATAAACTAATACTAAAAAATTTTGCTTTTTCTGTAGCATGTTTTGCCCCAAACTGATTGTTGAATATAATGGATGCACCCAGCCCAGGCACAAATCTCCTATGAAGACTTTCTTTCTCTTTTTTCCTTTCTTTCTTTTTTATTACTATTGTTTTGTAACTTTAGTCTTCTTACACTACCGTCTATAAAATTAATTAGCATTTCATTATATTGTATTTAGTATAAGAAGTGAATTTTAATTTCGGTCTTGCATTTTATTTTTAGAAATACCTGAATTGTACATATGTATGATTATGTAGATATCCTAAATGGATCATACATGGCTTATGCTGTATTTATGTGACAAATATAAATATTATTATTATTATTATTATTATTATTATTATTATTATTATTATTATTATTATTATTATTATAATTACATCGTTTTTCAAAATGTCTAGCTCGTCCGGAGTTTTCAGATATAACTCAAGGACATAACGTCAACACGTATCGTGAGACATGTTGAGAAGTTCTTGCTCCAGTGCACTCAGGTTCCTCTTCAATGAGTAATTAGGGAACCCTACGCATAATAATGGAGGTTGCCAGCAACACCGCCTTTTGTATGGTTGTGAAGTGCCATTGATTTAGATGGAGTTTCTCTTTCACAGTCCTCCAGTTTTCAGCAACAAGCCCATTAGTTGAAATAACAACGGGTACAATATCTACCTCTATTAATTTGTGTAGGTTTTTCAGTTCAATTGAGAGTGGCTGGTATTTTCTTTTCTTTTCTGCAATTGTTCACAGCAGATTATGATCCAATGGACTGCGAAATCTAATATAATTATTGCCCTGCGAGTAGTGTTGTCGAATACGAAGATATCAGGCTTATTTGCATCGCATTGTTTTATCTGTAAATGGCAGTATTCCACAAGAGATTTGTTCTCTCTTTAGACAGAACTTGCTCCGGTAGATATTTGTAATAAGGCTAGCTTTCCTTAATCGGGCCCGATCTTTTGGAAAGAGCTTGGTGGATGATTTTGTCCACATTATTATGATGTAGTAAATAATATGTTTGTGCCAACTCAGAACATCCGCTGCAGATGTATTGAATAGATTCGGTAGCCTTCTTACGTGCGACACTTGTTACTGATACTCTCTTTCAAGATATATCGCTTGTAGTTATTAGTGGTTACTACCTACTTGAATGGCTCATGCCCCCCCCCCCTCCATCCCGGATACGCCAGTGATTGATTAGTAACGTTCGCAACACTTCGCTCACACTTAGTTTTTGTTTTGAATACTTTATGGTGAACTCTTTGCACTGCAAACCTTGCCACCGAATATCTTAGGTCGAATCATCTTCTCATCTATTCTCTCGTGGTCATTACATACATTGGATAAAATTCTTCTCATATTTCTTTCTTTATCACTCTTAGTTACTTCATTAATTCTCCAAACTGTGTTGTGTTGGTAGTAGCATTTGGTATCTCAGGTCTTCCACAAAAAGGGCTCCTTTGTCAGCTCGTACATTAGGCGTGAAGGAGTCTACTTGGACATCTGTATAGCTTTCGTCCCATAGATATCACCTCAATTGGTTTTAAGACCTCCGTCTAGCTGCAACCCCCACTTGTTCGAAATTCAAAATTAACTAGCCTATAATTTTGTACTAATTTGCTACCACAATTAAAAATTTTGTCCTCAACTATAAACAATAAAAAAAACTACATCCAAAAGTGGGGGTGCTAACTTGACGTTAAGTTAGCACTCCCACTTCTCATAAATTCAAAATCAACTAGCCTAACATTATCTTCTAATTATGTACTAATTTTCTACCACAATTAAAAATTTTGTTCTCAACTATAAACAATTAAAAACCGGGTGTCAATGAAGCACTTTCACGCATATTTTCCGATTTTTTTAAAACATATTTAGAGTAAAATTTCAAAGTTGAAATCAATAATGCAGATTAACATCATAGTGAACTTTTACATGTAATAATTTCAAAATTTTATCTAGTCCAGCAACTGAGATATTACAGTCTATAAACACGAAAAATCGCGAGCGGTTGAAAACAGAATTGTCCGCCATTGCCCCCCCCCCCTTCGCAGAAATTCAAAATCAACTGGCCTATATTTATACTATATAAATCTCTCTTACTCATGGTGTAGTAATATCGCCACCCGTTCGAGCGCAGCACTGGGACAAGGCTAACGCTAGTCGCGAGATATAACACGTAGTTTGCCAGCCCTGGTGGGATCCCTCTGCGGCTCGATGCTTGTCAATTTGACAGCTGTTGAAATAAGATTTGGGTTAAGTTTAAGAATCGGGTTCAAATTCAGTATTGCGCGTTATGATACATGTGAGTGGAAATTGTAAAATGTGTGAAAACTCACAAATGCCTAGTGAATTGACAAGTGTGCGTGTGGTAGAAGTTGAAAATTATCAATGTATTTAGAAAATAATATTTCAAACAAGTTTTATATTTTAAATACGTACTGCCTGTAAGTTTAAGATGTCTAAAGTCTCGAATAAAATTGGTGTAGAAGAGTACGTAGAGAACTTTCTTGCTGAGGTAAACTCAAGTGTCATGTGTTTATTTTTTTAAGATAGTGGGAGTCATTTCTCATCATTTTATGCGTCTGTTGTAGAATGCGGCTCTACGTCGCAAACTACAGAGTAAGGCTGAAGCTTTACTTATACTAAGTAAAGAACTCGATCAATGTCGTACCGAAAGAGATCAGTTTAAACTTATGGCAGAACAATTACAAGACAGATACACATCACTCAAAAAGAAATCTTTTGATTTAGTAAGTACTTACAGCTAGAATGTGTAATTGCTGTACTTCGTGATGTTTGAGGTATTGTTTTCCGTTTCAGGGACTCAGCCGATCGTACTTGTATTCTTCAGGTACAGATTGTTATGACACTGGGAGTACCATTATGGAAATTTTGAATGAGACCAAAGAAAAAAATAAAGCTATGAAAATTGAAATAGAAGACTTAAGACAGAAGCTTCGAGACGCTCAGGGAGATGTCAAGGTATTCCCTCTTCAAAATTATTTCTAAATGCACCCTTGTAGTTACCATGGAATAATAGGGTAATTAATTTAATGATAATATATTTAAAAGAATAAAATACATTGAAGTATGTAAGTTTCTAGAAGAAACCAATTAGTACTTCTCCAAAAAGCAGAACAAAATGTTAAAAAATAATAAATGTTTAGTTTTCCAAATTCATGATTCATACTGAATTCCAGTGTGAAAGGCAGTTGCTGTAGTTCTCATTTAGATAATTTAAACAGTTCATATAAATTAATAGGTGACTAGAACCGAACCCATCTCGATCAGGTTTTTGTCCAGTTTCCCTGATACATTGAGCAAATTCTGAGATGGCCCCTGATGTTTTGCTTCTGAACATAAATATGGCTTCACTATCTGCACGTTGTGTTGAACTCTTCTTTTGCTTCTAGAGGTTGGAAGGGCGAGTTACTGTTTTGTAAGCAATGCAGAAAATAAAAACTGAAGTTAGTTTACCATTGCAAAAATATTTTGTATAACTCAGGAATGAAAATGTTTAGTTTTTCAAATCATGCTAATCTTACACTTTTTTTAACATTTTATTTTTATTTATTTATCTTTAACTTTTACCCAACTTTGAACTATTTATAGTTAAAATGATGGGAAGGGATTCTGGAACTCAAGAAAATGTGGGCAGATTATTTCTCTCCCATATGTCACATAGTTTTAGTGGTTTTTTGACAAAATAACTCTAAAGGGCTTAATGCATATTATTGATTTATGTAAAGTTGAAATTATTTTCATCGGCAGAGGAAGTTTTGCATAGTTTCTTCAGTACTTGCAGGTATTTCATTTGTATAATTTTCATTTTAATATCTTCTACTTTTCTATTATAGGTCCTACGCCTTAGAGTCAGTCAGCAAAAGAACTGTGGTATGTCTGGCGAGAATCAAAATTTTCCGTCCCATCAGAAAGAGGAGTTGGTGCAGCAATTAGAAATAATGAATGTTAAGGTGTGTATGATTCTAAGCAAAATAAAATTCAGAGGAAAAATAGTCTTACTGTTTTTACTAGGGAACAGATTTTAATGTAAATACCTATTTGTACAGCTACTAGATATTGCTTTTTTATTTATTATTATTATTATTATTATTATTATTATTATTATTATTATTATTATTTTTGTTATTGTTATTATCGGTCACGTGCGATTTTGTTAACCTGCAACCCTACACCCACAGGGCTGTTAAGTGCACTTAACTACCTATATGTTAAGAAATTTAATATCCTTAGCAACATAAATAAACCCATCAGTTCGTCACAAGTCAAATGTTTGTTAAGACAAAACATGGTGATGTACACAATAAATCAGACTCAAACAATACAGAATAAAAGTAGCTCGTATTAGTTTGGGGGATGATTATTGTTAGATGTAATATTATTAATAGTACATTTAGAAAATTCTATATTAGGTAAATTAACCTCATTTTCCTGGCATTCCACCAAATGTAACTCTTTCCAGGTAATAATATTTACTGACGAAGTGAAGGTCAATGCGTCAACTTCCTCACCATACATCTTTTTTTTAGGATTCTTTAGATTCAGGAGAATTATTTGCATTCATCTTTCTTGAACCACTGTATATGAATATTGTAATATTGATAATATTGTGTATTGAAGTACATATATCACAAGCAACACTCCACAATATCATACTAACCTGCCGCAGTTACAGAATGAATTTCTTACCATCATAGTAATGTTGTCAATTTTTGCATAGATCATTTATTTTGTGGTGAAAAATGCTGAAGATACCACAAAATGTTAGTGTTATTACTGCCCTTCCAAATAAAAATCTCTGCTCTGCTTTCATTTTTAACTTTTGACCTCTGCAGTAATAACTCCCATAACATTACTACGTATGTTAATATCTATTACAAGACATTCTGCATAAATTTGAAACATTTATATTTGACATCTTTTTACACAGACTATCAAGGAAATACATTTTTGTTCCCAGCATCACTTCAAACATATCTTTTCGTCTTTCATAGTTTCTACTAATTTCCTTGACATGCCATTGTAAAACTTCGTCCAAAGATTTGCCAATTGTTCAGCTGTAACAAATAGCAAAAAAAAGTATATACAGTAAACCCTCATTAGTATGAACTCGCTTAACCAGAAATTGGCCACCTCAACAAACAAAATTTGGGTCCCACCAAAGAAACATAGTAATGAGGATACATATAAAAATCAGATTACGCAATTTTTTTTAACAAGAACACTGTTTATTTCATTCTCTTGGTATTTGTGTTAATGGTTTGCGGTAAATTACAAAAAACTTCATCCAATTCATTACCATTTGTGCTGCACCTCGATTGTCATACAATGTGTAAATTTTATGAAAACATACAATTGTTAGATTGGCAATATATTTAAACAATTGAAATAAGCATTCCATGTACAATCTTCAGACAAAAATTTCGCTTAAGTAGAGAAAAGTCCCTTGTAAGCAAATGTCCCATTTTCATTAACACTAATGGAATTCCAAACATTTTGATAGTTCAAAGATTTTTGGGCAACTTTCAAATTATTGAAGAGAGATATTTTCTAAATGAAATCTATTTTTCAAAATTAAATCGTTAAATGCTGTCATTTAAAATTTTTTCAAAATATGATAAGATTTTTTTTCGTTTTTAAATTTGTCACATCTCCAAGCCCTGGGCGGCATTGAGCGCTGTGTGCTTTCGGAGTAATCTTCCATTAATACCAGTGCAGTAGTAGTCCTCCTTTAATCATTACTGTTGTCATATCTATCACGTCTTGATGCAGTCAGTTGTCAAAAGAACAATCAAGTAGCATCTCCGCGTACGCCCCTCCTACTACTAATAGACACCCCTGTGTCACTACTTCCTGGCCAGAATTGCGAAGGAATTAGGATTGGGGTAGGGTTTAGGACACTTTACAGGGATTGGACCAGCCCCGGTGAAGCATCCAAACTCATTTTGTTGTAAAAAAAATCGCATGAGGTTCTACAGGGATTCTACGGAAATCGAACCCGGAACCTCATCTTCAGTAGTGAAAGCCAAGCGATTTTGCTGCTGAGCCACAAGAGCATTAGAGGTTTAAAGTAATTTTGAGTGAGAATTTGTGGCACGAATACATAAAAGTGGCACGTTTTACTTTCCATTTTGACATCTGAAATTTGGAAAATTCAGACTTTTTTACTTTCGCAAATTTTGAATTTGCCCAAAATCTTCAATATTGAATGTAGAGATTTCCTTCTTAATGCAATCTATTTTGGCATATTACGTCTTTGATCATTTCAAGTTCAGTTGTTGGATTTTGGTTGTGATGGAAGTGCCATTTTTGTTAAAATTTTCAAAAATTGAAAGTATATATGTTTTCAAATTTCCCATATTTATTTTGGAGTTTATCAAGAGATGAGTGAAGTTTTAATAGAATAAAATTGGAATATCAATCACTGATACTAAAATACATGCCATTTGATAATCTTGTATGCTTATTTAGATCATAACCAGTTCTATTGTTTGTACCTTTTCTGTCTGTTTGTCCACTCATTCACAGGAGGGCTAAAATGATTTCGACAGGTTTGCCCTAAAAGGTAGTGTACTTTGTTGGTTCTAAATTAGATATTTTTTCTTATTATTACAAAGAAGAATGTTAGTTTATTTGTTCTTTTCTAAAACCCTTTAGTTTTATTTCGATGTTAATGAAATTTTGTACATGTGATCTTCAAAAAAGAGAAAAGTTACTGTCCAGATAAAATTTCATGAAAATTATCTTGTAGACCTTTTTTCAATAAAAATCATACTCTCCAAGTCATTGAAGGTTATTTGAAAGACATCACGTTCTTCTTAATTTTAATTAACAAACCATTTATTCAGTGTTTCCTTTTCCAAAGAACAGATCCCTGTAGAAAGAATTATGAGAATTTTTCAAATTTTTTTGAGTCAGCATAAATACTTAACATAATCATCAACATGTGTCTATATGCAACAGACATTAGGACATTCCCACTGCACTATGCCTATATTCTTCGTACAAGTGCAATCAATAAGTTGACAAAGTTTTATTGTAATCGGATGAACAGTGCACCAGCGCATAAAATGCGAATAAACAAACAAACAAACATTGATTTTTTTTAATATTTGATTGTGATTCTTCACACGTTTCAGAGAGTTGAATGAATTAATGCATTAGAGGATTGTGGAATAAAAAGGATAATATTTAACATGTTTTACCCTTATACTTACTGCAGTGCACTCAAATGGAAGCAGACCTGCAGTCTGTTCTTGATGAGAAAGAAGAGTTAGTAACTGAAAGAGATGCATACAAGTGCAAAGTTCACAGACTTAATCATGAACTGAACACACTGATGAAAGGCGATGGAAAAAATATAGTGGATGTTGATGCTCTTGTAATGGAAAATAGGTGAGAAAAATTGTTCTTAAATGGTATATTGATTAACTTGTTTTATTTTTCCATATTTTATTATTGTTAAAATGTGCATTAAATTTGCAGAGTAAGGATGTACTTAAATCATGGTGAAAACTGCAAAACAATTCAATTGAATGAAACACACAATTGATGGTAACAATTTTTCCATGACAATGTGGGTCATTAAATAATTTGTCAATGATATACACATTGTTGTAAATGTCATGCACATATGCATGACAATGATAAGTTTGTAGTCCCTGTAAAACATAGGAATTGGTTATTATTACCCACCAACCGATAAGTATTGTTATCCAAAACTTGTGGTGCTACAAAATGGCAGACTTTTTGTTAATAGGAAGTTCCCCCAATAATTTTTGATTTGAGACTGGCTTGCCCCACTTCTTTCCTGGCTCTCATCTGTCAGCACCTAAAGGTCCAGAGTAACTATCCCTCCCAGCGCAGTTCTCTTGTGCTCTCTAAACATCATACTTAGCAAGTCATCTTGGTGCTGGACTTTTGCATACATGTCCTTGGTAGCCATTGGAACCATCTTGGTGCTTGTACTATTTCAGCTACAGAGAGTCAGTTTTTATTATTAGAGCCCAGAAGTTCAAGCACTTATTTTACCTAAAAATGACATGCAAAAGGCTTTTATTTTTACTAAAATAAGCATGAAAAATGATTTTTATTTTAGCTAAAGTAAGGGTGCAAAAAGCATATAAACTATGAAAAATTACACTTAAAATAAATTATTACCAAAAATTAATAATCAAAATTAGTCACATTTTTATTATATCTCTAAGATTTACATTAACACTTGACATGTATGGAACTTATATTTTCTTTGTTCCACCTGACCATCCGATTTGTTAGCTATGAATTTGTTTTACTCATGACGCTGCCTCTTCGAAATGATGTGCTGAATCTTGAAACGGCATGAGTAAAAACCGAAATGTATTATTCACTCTTTGCACTTGTGTAATCACCAGCACTGTTCATCATACTCAGAAAACTGACCTAAAAAGGGATCGGAGGCCATACTCAAAAACAAGAAGAGATTCTACGAGAGTGTACAAAGCCTGTTGGTATCAATGAAAAAAATCAAAAATCGGGACTGGTACTATCTCATCTTCCTTTTTCATTTAGATTTTTAACACAGCCTTTGTTTCTACAGAGAAACAAAACTTGACAGTGCCTTCATGGTTGTCCAGGCTTGTTAGGCCATATATCCAGATTGCTCAAGATTGGTGCTATTGTTAAAAATAATAAAATAGTAACAATAACAAGAAGGCATTTTGCCATACTTCTAGGCTTCACTCATTACATATACAGACAAATTGTTCACAGATCTCACTCACAACATAAGTGTAGGGAATTATGGAAAGAGATTTGAATAAAAAATGTTCTTTTTTTTTTTCAGACACCTAATTGTAGAATTTAAAAACCACTTCAAGAATATTATAGAAGAGTTAAACTTGTTTCTATATGCTCATTTTCATTGAATAATTGTGAGCTTTTTTCAAGAAAATATTATTTGTGAGTTTCTGAAAATGAGCAATTTAGAGCTCATTTTCACAGAAAACTTGGATTTTTGAGAAACTTCATATCTTCTTTTGAAACATTTGCATTCAAAAAAGTAATAATATATAAAAAATCCTCTTTATTGTAATAATTTGAAAGATATTTCAAAAACTTGCATTGTGTAATTTTTGAAAATTAAGTAATACATCAAAATGGCATTAATGTGATCTAATTCAGTGTGTTTCACACTGTCTGCACAAGAAAGTTGAAGAATAATGTGACTGTTTTAGAGTATTGGTTGATTATCATTGATAATTACTAGGGAGAGAATTTTTATCTTCTAAAAAGTCTTAAAATATGCTTTTAAAAACATGCATTTATGACCTAAAAATTCTTAAATACACACTTTAATATGCAATTAAAATTAAAAATATTTCATTTCCTTTATAAACCTTTTTTGATAAAATTCAGGAGACATATGCTTGGAATGAAAAGATATATTTTTGTGAAAACATAATATAATCTACCTTACTTTGTGAGAGAAATAATTGAAGTAAATATTCCCCTAGTATGTTTTGTTTCATTTCTTCGGTGTGGTTTGAAAAACATGATATCAAGAAGCTGCATTTGGACAAGTATTTTATCGCTTAAAGAAAAGAAGAAGAAAAACCAACACAAACTGTGATAAGTTCTTTAGTATTAATGAACACTTAAAAAAAAGATTCTATGAAAAGGTGAAACATTTTAGAGATAAATCTCTTATTTTAATTAAATATGCAAAATATGTGCTTATAATTTCACAACATGCAGCAACAGGAAAAATTGTCCAAATATGCACAAACATATTAATCTACATAGCTTCCAATTCTAATCAAATGTGAAGAAATTTCACTTAGCTATGTCCTGAAACAATGTACAAAAATATGCAAAACCGTAGAAACCCACTCCATAATAATTACTGTTACTGATTTTGTACATGTGGGTGTTTACAAACATTTTTCTGGCAAAGAAATGAACACATTACATGGCATTCAATTTATACCTGTTGTGGTATTCATAATAATTATTGGGTTTCTGTTTTAATTTCCAGGTATTTGCAAGACAGATTGCATCAAGCTGAAGAAGAAAAAGAATTAGTGAACCAAGCATTATCAAAATATAAGGTAAAGAGGTTGATAAAAAAAGCTCTATCATACTTCTTATCAAAATGAACATTTCTATTAACATTATTATTAAATGCTGAATAACCATGTGTTACACTAAAATTTTCATATCTTGTATTGTTTTATACATGCAAACATACTAATGACATATTGACTCATTCTTTTCCTTTATCTTTTTGCATGATTGTATTATATTAACTTCTTTGTAAACAGAGCATGTTGGAAAAGAAGCGAAGTAAAGGAACAGTAAAATTGGGTGCTAACAACAGTTCTGGCATGGTTATGACTCACAGGCAGGGTGAGTTGATTGTAGATGGCTAACTCATTAGATGTATGTTTTGTTGTGTTGTTTGTTGTGTATGTGTGGTTGTGTTGTGTTGTTTTGTTGTGTATGTGTGGTTTTCTTCTGTATCTATGCACAATTTTGTTAAAATTTTGTTGGAGGAGAAGTAATTTGTGATGAATTATATATTGTTTACTTACAAGATATACTAACTTAGAAAGTTGTAATATGGATGTACTAGGTAGATTTCATCAAAACTTGGAACGGATTTCTATGTAAATACATATTTACTAAATAAGCTAATATTGATACTAATTTGCATTATCTTTATGTTTCACAAAATGTAGTGTTGAAAAATGTTACTTTTATTTTCAATATTCTGGGATTTGGTTCATATTTAAATAAGTCCATATATTTTCCATATTTTTTATAGTCAGCCCACATAGCATATTAAGCTTAATAATGAAATTGCATTAAAAGTTAAAAATGCATCTCAACAATATGAGTTAAAAATTTTCAATAATTCCTTAAATTAGGGAGAATTGGAAAATAGGAAAGCAAGTTAAGAAACTGTTAATGTTTTAATTTATGTGAAGAATAGATCCACTCTCCAGCCCTGAGGCCCTCTCTGTGGGATCTGAGTGTCCTTGGGGGGAAGTGAGCAGAGAGGAGGCAGTAGACTGTTGGATTTATTTGACAGATGACCTTAAAACTTCATTGGTCTGTGGGAAATGCATCTCGTTTTAGTATCCCTCTCTTTTGTCTGAGGCTGCCATCCGGAAATCACATCATGCCACAGAGACTGAGACATTAGAATTTAACTTATACAGCTCCTCATTGTCGGTAGCAATCTAGTCAGAATACTATGTGTTGGTTCAATTCTAATTATCTCTCCACTAAGCCAGAGTAAAATACCATAAGTAGCAGACAGGCAGTGTAAAATTAGAAGTTACATTTCAGAATTTAAAGAAGGTTTATCAACTGACAATAAAATAGTTTACAATATAATTTTTTATCATATTTACTCCATATTATAATAAAAAATAACTACATTTACATTTACATATTTCATATATTTTTACTTACCAATTCTCCCTAATTTAAGGAATTATTGAAAATTTTTAACTTGTATTGTTGAGATGCATTTTTAACTTTTAATGCAATTTCATTATTTAGATTATAAATCTGTTCCATGATCATAAATTACAATGTATGAAAATAATCATATAACTTATTCTTTACAGGGAACGTATGTTCCCTGACGCTACTAGTAATTTCAGCATGTTATTTGTTTTCATATAAGCACGGAAGTGATGCAAAGTTGAATGCGTATTTGAAACGAATAATATGATGCTTGAATTGAAGTATTGCATTGTACTCATCATTTCAGTTCAACAGTTACTTGAACATGGAACCTCTGCTCAGTTGCCAAATACTGCTGCTACTTTAGCTGACATGAAAAGTTTATGTCTAGCTCTTTTGGAAGCATTAAGTGATAAATCCTTGGCTCTCTCTCATCAAAAAAAGGCAAACAGGTTTGTTTTGAAAATTACTCAGGATATAAATATATCATGAAATCTGTTGGTTATTATATCAATATTACTATGGAAGAAAGAGACTACACTCTTTCCTTTGTGGTATTACAATACGTAGTTTAATGTGAATTTTAATATGAAGTATAGGAGACTGGTAAAATGATTAAATATTGAACATTGACATTCCAGAATTTTGGCAAGACGTGTATCTGAACTTGAACAACGGTTGAATATTGTCCAAGGTGGATCAGTAGCAGTTTTTCCATCACAAGTATTGCTAGAAGGATACTCCAGTTCAGAAGTGGACAGAGATGTGAATCGGATTCTTGCAGCAGAATCCTCGGATTCTGAAGGAGAAACTATAGATTCAAACCGTGTAGCACTCTCTGGTGAGTTAACTGGTATGGACTTATTTTTATAGTACATGTTGTAAAATTTACCATTATTCCAAAATAATTATTCTCACTTAACGCATAGCCTGTTTGTGAATGTGTAGAAAATACATAAAATACAAAAATTATACCTAGTATGAAAAAGGAAAACAACATAATTTGTCTAGATATACTAGTAGCTTAATGGTCTGTATTAAACTGTCTCTATAAATCCATCTTATCATCTAACTATGGATGATAAAACCTATCTATGATTTAACTTGGTTAACCCATGATCCACTTTCTAAGATATTTACTACTCTTTGTCCTAGTGAAATAACAAAATTTTTAGATAGGTAATACATTAAAAATTTCACCCTTAAATTTTTGTAGATTCTCCTGACATATTATTAATAGTAATGAAAGTAGAGATATTTAATCACCATTCATGACATATTTTACAAACATCAGAATATTTTGGACAGTTTTCATATTAAACAAGATTACTTGCATTACAATTATCTGTCTCTCTCTTTAAACTAATAGATCCAGCTGAGTGTAGAGTCCATGAAGATTATTCAAACTCTGAAAGTAAACCTCAAGAATCTGTGACAATTGTTCCAGTGAAAGCGAATATTAATACAAGTGCAACATGTTCACAGAATTTTGAAACATTACATAACAATGTAACTTCAAAAATCAATATTAATAATGACAGTGGAAATAAATCTTCATTGGTGAGAACGCAGTTATGTCATACTACAAGTGCAGGTACACATTTGCAATGAAGCTGTACAATTTGTTATTGTTTTTTTTTTGTTTGTTTTTCATTAAGGAGTGTGTGTTTTAATAAACTTATTAGGGATATAAACTCATATTTATTATTACAGGTGATTCTTTGTGCCTTTCACCATTAAACGATGCTCTTCCGCTTCAATTGCAGCGCCTTGTTCAAAAAGCTCTTGATGAAATCAAGCAAGAAGAACTTTCCAATAGTGGATCATAATGTTTTGTGTAAAGAGTGATTTTATACATTCATATTCCAGCTGCTGTTGGTATTAATATTGTAGATAATTGAAGATGTTTAATATATTGGTATTGTGTTTTGTTGAGTATTAATACATTTTAAAAATAAATATAACCTGTGTTTTGTTTACTTTACTATCTTGATTTTCTTTCACTCTCAGAAAATTATTTTGTCATGTTTGAACACGAATTTCTTGTTTTAGAAGAGCAGGAGAGTCTTTTGATTATACACACTCATGGAGGTAAAAAACATGTCCATTAATAGCCATGCATTTAGTGACTGCATCTTCAAAAAGTGTGTGAGAGGATGTTCAGTATTATTGATAGAATGAAGATTTCATAAAATCTGAAGATAAGTACGTACATAGATTCTGAAGATGTATGTTCTTTCTTATATATTTAAAACAAGAGAATTTGTAGGTATAGCATTGCTGCCTGCTGGTTTAAAAATGTAATCACCAAGATGACAAATATACAAATATTATTACTATACTATTGGTTATAGGAAATTAGTGACATATTGTGAAGTCTTTCAAAGAACTCAAGTGAATCAATAAGAGTAATCATACTTATAATCAAATTCTGCAAAAAGCAATGTATTGTTATGAAAATGTATATGATAAACTTGCCTATAATGCCTATATCTGCCTATAAAGATGGAAAATTGACAGGATTTTTTGCTGTAATTGTATTTTACTGTCAAAAAGAATTCAATAGAAAATGTTCACAAGACTGCAATATCTGGAGAGTACCTGATATAAGAATGATCATGGTGGTCCTTTCTAATCCAATTGCAATCACAGAACGTATCAGAATGATAGAGTACCTGAAGACATTTTTCAGTTTCACTATTTTCTTTCACAATCACAGCCATTTACACTTGAACGAGCTGAGGGTAGAGTTTTTTATTGACGATTGCTTGCCTAATGAAATTCTTCAATAAAGACAAAATTTTTAGGAATCAGTCACTTAAGTCACTTCCTAGGCAATAATGAAGTTCAAGATGAAATGGTTTAAAAGATCCAGACTGAGACTAAAGAACTGAAGTCGTAAGTACTTATTAAATGAAATTTCCATTAGATTTCTATATGAAAGAAGAATAACCATATTTTTCTCACAAACCCAGCCATTGAAAATCTAGAAGAAGAATCAAAAGTACAGATGAAAATCGGGCACAAAGTAGCTTAAAAATCTCGGGGAACATTTAGACAAAATTGGTATTGATATGAGAAATCCACAAATGAAGCAAAGGCATTGAAGAATAACCTAATATAAGAAAATATTCATTTTGCTGCGTTAAACTGTGACAATAAATTTAGGTGGCTCAGTGTTTGGAGATCTTCTCACTCTCACATGTTTTACCCTTTTCTCCCTCTCTGCACACTATTACAGTTCAGTGCTTGGCATCAACTGTGGTCAACAGTGGTTAGAACAAGAAAGGGAATACCTTTTATCATGATTCACCCACATTTGCATAGTCAACTCAGAGCCTTTCAAGCCAGTAATCCCACTGTGATAGTATTAGCTGGCACTAATGCCTTTTGTTAGTATTAGCTGGCACTAGGGTCTTTAACAACTTTCTTGAGTGTGAATTTATTTACAAACAATTAACTAACAACTTAAATAAATAACTTTTATTTAAAGAAATACACAAGTTTTTGTGTTTCAAGTACAAATATAAAAGCTTTGTAGGTGATAGAAAGGCCCGGTACTGATGACTCAATTGACCACCTCATCGGGTGGCAAAAGAAAGCTACTAAATCACATGTGTGAAACAGTAGCCAGATTTGTAGTACTCTTCCAGCTTGTTGCCAATAAAGAGAGAAGATTTGAAAAAATTGGATTTCCACTGTAGTAAATATTTATATTGTACAGTTGTAAGACTGTATATGCCTACAAAAACTATTGTATACTTCTCAATCTGTAACCACCACCTTGTTAGCTTGTTTTGAGTCTTTCATAGCGTTTTCCTTGATCCATTGCACAAATGGTGAGGTTTCTTGCTTTGCTTCTGGACTTTAAGTATTGCTTTTTTTCCCTATTCCTCCTCAAACATCATGAACCATTACAGTTACTTTATTGTTTTTGACATTAATAAATTAAGGCCATTCAAAAAACAGACTCACAATATTTTACTTATTTCAATTTCCATTTTTGAACAATTCGTAAATAACTTTTGTAGTAACACATCTTCAGAGTTCCATTTTGAACCCTCCTCCTTCATATGTTAAATAAAAGTTACATGTTTAATATAAAAATTGAAGAAAAATGTTAAATGTCAAGTAGTCGGGGCAACGAAGTGCCTTCATTTTTGTAAATTAGAAGAGAAATATGTGAATAAAGACATTTCCCAACTGATGAATATGGTGCTGATAATGTAGAAAATCCAGCATTGTACCCAATCTTTGGGTATGCAAACAATGCCTGAAACCATTACAGTAGAAAATAATTTGCATTACCAGCATTGTCTAGGTACGGTTAGGTATTGTTGTCTAGCATATAACAAGCAAAGTAAAAATACCTCACCACTTCACATTTACCTTGCCGGTGTATTGCCTGCTCCATGATTTTAAAAATGTCGAAAGATGGCATCTTGTACACCAATAAATACAGTTAACAATAGGGTTGGATAGGTTTAAATATGTTTTACAGTACTTTTAACATTTGTGCATTTTTAATATTGAAGGTAATGTTTTAATGATGAAAAAATACACCTAAAACAGGAACTGTCAAACAATATTGTGCAATAACTTTTAGAAATTACAAAAAGGCTGCTACAAAAAGTAGCCTTCTCACAAATAAGCATTATGAGCATCTCTTCAATCAGGTAAAAGCAGTTATAAAGGAAGAAAGAATCGAAACATAAGTTACTGAAAAAATTCAACAGCTGCAACAAAGGAAGAATCGGCTTGTACAGAATAGCAGGTTCATACCAAAATACAGGTTCAGATTATTTCCATGTTACAATGGAGGAATCACAATGGCTACATCTGGAGGTTAGCCACTTGGTTGGCAAGAGGATGTGTCTAAAAGCATCAAAAGATGCTTAGGACATGTGAATACAACAATTTAAGCAGGGATTCCTCAACGACTTAAAAGAACCAAGAGTAGGGTTACCAGATTTTTCAGGAAAAGTACTGATTTTCTAATATGTATAATCTATTCACCTTTTAATTTAATTTTTTTAATATAAAAAATAAATTTGCATTAAAGAAAAAAGTGATATTACGAGTAAATCTCGTTTCTAAATATAAGAACAATAAGTATATATAAGGAATATTGAAACAGATTAGAAGAATTTGTAACAATAAAGCTGGCTTAATCATATAATTTATTGTAAAGTGCAGTATTAATATATAAATTGATCTCTCTTCTATAGTAGTATAAAAACTTTGTATCTATGTCGTTATTATGAGTATGTAAACATGTATATATGTCATTATTAAAAAAGTTTTGGGTTTTTTTGATCTTGGTCTCTGGTAATCGTAGGCAGGAGGGAAAATAGTTATTGGTCATGGTAGTTGAGGTAGAAAAATAAAGGGACTAAGTTCAAAGGCAAAAATATATGTACAAAATATTACAAATATAAATTATTACTTATCTTGACATGCACAATGTCAAAAAAAGAAAAGGGTGTATCATGAATGGCAATAAAAGTTTGTGATTTTGTTGAGAATGAATTTTTTGGAGGAAATTCAAAGATACTAATTTTGGAAGTGTGATATTTTTTATTATATTGCTTCAACTCCTTCATGTTCTAATAAAATAATTAAAAAAATATTATAAATTTTTTTAAATATTGATTGTTCGTGTATATTTTGACATTAATAATTACGAAACTTAAATTAACAATAAAATATTTAATTGGGGGAACATGAGAATTTTCAATTATTTGTAAAAGTATTCAACTCATTACCATAATGATTGTAGGTATTACGGTATGGTAGATATGTGAAAATCTGAACTGTTTTGGTGTCTTGGTAAATATATACAAATGGTAAAACTAAAAATATAAACAATAAAACTAAAAATATAAATAAAAAACATATACAAATGGTATATGGATGTTTTCCACATCAAATAAACCTCCTCCAATTCACTTAAAGCCATCATTAAGACTAATGGTTTCTTCTGATGCTAGAGTTCTATTCTAACAGACCAAATTTTATGCATGAAAATTGACACATTTCAAAGTTTTCTATAATCCTTAAAGTATAATATAAAGTATCATATAAAGTTATGCAATATATTTTCAACAACTGTACAGATATATATCATTAATTTTATTTGCATAGTTTTATAAAATTGTCAAATTATTTAATATCTTGGTACTACATCCATAATTACTAAAAACAAAACAAAATGTAATAGGTGGCATGAATGTATATTGCCAACTTTTATTATCTCAATAATATTAACATAAAATTAATACTAATAAAAATGTGAGAACATGCATGTTTCATCAACCCTTCCCTTTTCAATGTCTTTTTGCAGTTTAGAACCCCCTGCAATTTTTTTTAATAAACTCTAATTAAATTGCATTTTATTGCAACTAGGGTATTGCAGAACTGTGTTAAAAATTAATATAAATGTCCAACACATTTTTAGTACACAACAGTACACATTTTATTTTTCCCCAATATGTATTGATGTTCCAGACATGCTTATAGTTACATTTGCACTTTCCAGGGCTTTCTGGAGAATTTTTAGTTTTACCAATTCTTGCTGTTTCTGTATTTTAAAGAGCTCCCTTTTGTGTTGAGCTTCTTCCCGACGAAATTCTACTTCCTCTTTCATTTGTTGCATCATCATTTGAATAACATCTGTTCTCCTTGGGTCAGATTTTTCTCTATGCTGGGTATTGTTTTCTGTATTCTGGAGAGGTGATAAGAGGTCTGAGTTCAGTTGTGTCCATTTGCACCAATTCAAAGCGTTCTAAAGAAAGAAAGGGAAAAATGTATCTTAATATACTTGATTGCCTCTGCACATCCTTAAAATATTTAAATATAATGAAACAAATGATTTTACACTGATTTATAAGCTTTAAGGACCTTTGGTGGAACAATGAAACATGACTGTCAACTGTCATACTTTTTTCTGAAAGATCGATAATTCTTTAAGGTATCTGTTTGATTAATTATGAATGACTAGATCATCATTTGAAGAATATATGGTCTCTACATTGAATATTATCCTAACATTAATTTTTCATACATCAAATGGCACAAATAATCCTTAATTCAATGTCTATTTCAATTTTGCTTTGTCACACAAAATTGTACATGTGACACTTATGATACTGGATACTCACTCCATCATTCTCTGCAGGTGTAGAGGAATTCTCTACCAGTTGTTCAACAGATAATGGATCACAGGCATTAGCAGGGATAGTAGGGTTTTCTTCAAATCCTTCATGTTCCACTTCCTCTGAAGTTCCATTAGTTGTAAGTGAAAAACATTTCTCCACAATTGGCAGGTTGTCAGTTGTTAAACAGATTCTTTTGGAATCCTCTGAGAGACAATTGGAAGATAGTAATTTTTCTTTAATTATGACTGAGAAAGAAAACACAAGTTGAAACAATCATTGGATTGACATTCATAAATGTATTTTAATGACGGACTTCTTTTTACTGTAGTTTAGTCCTGGATGATGTTTCTTTTTAATATATATATATATATATATATATATATATATATATATATATTAAACTATATAAATTAAAATGCATAACTGTGATATCAGAAAATTTATTGTACATTAAAGTACCTGCATCATTGGTGTCATCATTACGAATATTTAATGATCCTTTCCTGGGTACACCTATAACTTCCATTACTTGTTCTTCAATGCAGTTTAAGGAGTTTGCTCTGGAAGCATTGCCTATAAAAAAAGTAGAACATGCATTGAGTTTTATTATTTAAGAATGTATGAATAATTTTTTCAATATCCCATCAGGTTACATGTTACTAATGACTACAATTACCCAGTTTACATTTTACTGTATTTATACCTGCCAGAATTCGCCTAGTGGTTTTCTTTAAATTATTCCAACAATTATGCAAAGTGTCTATCGTCCTTGGAGTTTCCCCGGATGAGGCATTAAATTCTTTAGTTAAGTAACACCATGCCTTGTGTTTTGCTGTAGTCCCCACTTTGTCACTTTTTTTGTTTTCAATAGTATCCTCATACTTTCTAACAAGGGTTACCAGAAGTGCTTTCTCCTTAATTGTAAAATTTGAGGAGCGACTTTTCCTCAAGCTAGTTTCCATATTAGGGAGCTTATATAATAAAATCTGTAAAGGGTTTAGAAGATGGCTAAACAATATAATATAGGCGAAGGAAGCGTAAAGTAGGTAGTACTAACTTAAAATTAAAATATTAAATTCTCCAGACTATGCACCATTTCAGTCTTCAGTACTGAAGTATTACCCTATCATTCCAAGGGAATTCAGTTCTACAACAATAAACATCTGGGTGGGTTTTTTTTTTTCGAATTCGCGGGGTTATTTATACAATCCGTTTGGGTGATTATTACGCTGAAGAACGAGGATTATACGATTAACGGAAACTAGGATTAGCGCGTACTTCGACCACACAATTGAGGTTAATAATTTCGCTTGACAACTCAAATCACTGGAAGAATATTTGTTTTGTCCACACTGGAACAAACTCGTTAATTTGAATCCCGCCTTACACACCGTTTCGTTTCTATATTCTGACAAAAATATGTCCGGGTTTAGTTAAACCTTGATCTTCTTCGAGGAATAGCTAAGAACGACAGGAAAATGTTTGGTTGCCAAACAGCGACGTTTATTCTTAGATCCATCTCTCAGTTACCGAGTAGTTAGAATTGATATTGTATATGAGTGTTTATCCATAGGTTAACATATTCATCTATGGCTTATCCTTCAACTTTAAAAAAAAAATAATACTGAGAATCTTTCTTAATGACTCTCAAGAATTTATAACTAAATGTGATACTCATTCAAATCATCATACATCATATTTCGAATGGTATTAAAATACTTCAATACTAAAATGTCTGTATTTAATTTTAGTTTCATTTTCGCTTTGATAGACAGCAAAACCTGGATAAGACTGAAAACTGCCTTCCCCGGAAATAAATCTCAGAACGGGCTATTCTCCAATGCAAAAGTCCACTAGATGAGCCCAAAACGCGGAAACGAAATAATAGTTAACGTATTTAACAAGAGCTCGAAACAAGTGATGCACCCACGTCTATTACATCCGCACGTTTTCTTGAGCCCCGGAATATCTATCCCCACTCCTTTCCCAACATTTGTTGAATTAAGAATAAATTATAGCAACGAGTGTTGTGGACAAAATCTGGAAATGAGAAATGTTCGCTCCCGTGTATTAGAAACTATTTTGCATCGAAAATGAAATACAAATTTGGCGTAAAATTTCTTTTGTCAAAATAACACAACTCCCCACTCCTCACGCATCTAGCGAAGTAAGGGTTCAAGAAACGCGCGCGGATAATAGTCGACCGATCTTAGCGAGGACGACTTAGAGACGAGTTGCTGCGATTTTTCCCTGCCCCTGCCCCTGATAAGTATCAGCTTTTGACAATTTCATCTAATCGGGAGCGTAAACGTCACCACAGTGACGTTACTAGGGTGACGTTCAAGCTCCCGATTAGATGATCCGATTGGACACCTACCAGGGGTAGAGTTGCAAAATTCGCAGTATAGTAGTATTTAATACTACTAAACTACTACGTAAAACTAAAAAACTACTACGTAAACTACGATTAGGGAGTTTGTGCACGCCATAGCGGACAGCATTTTCGATCTTCTGTGCATTCGTAAATGCACTAGTGATGGGAAATTTTAACTGCACATGTGCAGAAGATCGATAGTGTTTTAAAGTTGGAGGGTGCACAAAATCCCTATTTTCAGCTGCCTCTGATAAGTCATCACCTGTTACTATGTCATTCAATCGGAAGCTTATACGTCATTACAGTGATGTCACTATGGTTACGTTCATCCTTCCTGTTCGAACCCTTCCTCCTCCTCTAAGTGGCAAGGTTCAAGAGGACCACACATAATTAAAAAACTGATAAGTTTTTCTACTCTTGCCAATGGAAAGGTTCAGAGTAAAAGAACTCGTCACATGTAAGCTCGATTGCTCGCCGTCTGCACATGGAAAATATTGTTAATACAATATTATGAATGTACGCCAAATAACACAATTATTATGAACTAAAAGAATATCTGATAAATTCTAATTTTGTCACTAAAAACTAGTAAATTAAATTTCTACACACCAGTACTATATGCAGGAGAGAATGTCAGGAACAGCCAATTTTCTCAGTTTCCATGTACTTTCATATTGAACATAAGAAAAATGATCAGAACAAACATGCTTTTAAAGGTCTTTACTACCAAAGTGAACTAAAGAACTTCTTCCAATTTTTTGAGTCAAATTTTGCCGCTACAACATTACATACAAAAATAAAACAATAACTATTAGCATAACAACTACTTGATGTAAAGAATATATCATAAGGATATGGTAAACATTTTTTCAACACTTCTTACAATTGTTACGGTATCTGATGAAAAATGATGATACATTAGTTAGACACAAAACATTTTTTATAATAATTTGCCCTTCTCCAAAAGCTCTAAATTTTTCGTTTGGTACGTTCTTTTATTTGGGTAAAAAATTGATTAAAATGTTTGTGTTAGAATTATGTAATTATGTAAAAATAATATAGTGTAGTATCATACATACACTACAAAAATAAAACACAATATAATAAACTAGTGGTGCTTCAGAAGAGCACATACAACCTACTATTAGTTTTCTATTTTCTTTGGTCTGAGCTAGATATTCTGATTTGCCGCATCCTCTTGCCAACTGTCATCTGTCACTACCCAAAGTACATTTTACAACTATTTTATCAATTTTTCGGTTCTATAAAAGTAGAATCAAATATTCTTTAAGAATATTCAAGATGAGTAAAACCTTTTTCTAAATAGGAATGCAATTGTGACGTCATGGATACTCACAGCGACCACAGACACTAGAGCGATTGCGATATAACAATATATTATTAACAAAGAAACAAAACAAATATATTACACTTTAATAATCTTACTGACCCTAGCCTTGATAGAAAAACCTACTATTCCCCTGATCGCAGAGAGCGATCTCCAACCCGATTATGAAGATGGTTTTTGATTGTAGCATTCGCCACACTCTACGTTTGAGCGCGCACAAAGCCTAGCTTCCGTGACCGGATGTCACGCTGGGACACAAATCCGTTCTGGCGCACCAACGCCAGGTTTGCCTCGATCGCAGGAAGCCGATCTTTTATCACGAGTGAGAATCGGCGTGAATCGTGCCACTCAACCACTCATTCACCGCGGAGCACGCACACAAGATCGCTCTCCGTGACCCGCAGTCCACCCAAGGACCAAAGTCCGCAGGCTTCGCAACTAGTACTCGAGCCCTCCCTCCGCAACAAGCCTGGCATCGCATATGCAACCGTCGTGCGCCAAACGTTTTTTTTGTGCACGACGCACGAGGTTCCCCGCTGTCTCCAGAACCCACCACTGCCTCTGGACCACTCTCGTTATATAGCGAGGCCCACGTGACCTACAGTCACGCCACCCCCTCGCTTTTTATAACAGTGAAAAGTTTCTATAGGCCGATACTCCCAAGGCCTTTGTGTCGGCCCGGTTTCCGCGTTCTTCCCTTTACAGAAAAAAACCCTACTTCGTGTGGCGAAGGCAATCTCTACCAAGCGTCCCCAAATAGATGCCATGAGGCACGCTGGCTAATACGTTACACAATTTTCACTGATAAAGTTTGCGCCGTTTTAAGAAAATGATGCTTAAGCGGCACTGTGAATGCGAAATTTGAACCTCTTTTTACAGAAAACTATTGAGTTTTCGAAATAATTAAAATGAAATAATTTCAAACACTTCCAATCACAAATGCGATAGGTGTTTACAATTCATTGAAACAATGTAGATATTAAAGACGTGAGAAATCTTTAAAAAATTACATTTGTGTAATTTTTGAAAAAAGCAAAAGAATACAGCAAAATGAACTTGACGTCACATTAAACAGTGCAAATTAGAGCTATCTGTTCGAAAAGTTTGAAGAAAAAAGTGGATCCATTTTTGAGAAAATAGCGTTTGAGTGTTTTTGAAAATGCGGAATTTTGAGCTCTTTTTCACGGAAAACTGTTGAGTTTTGGGAAAGTTTATCTGACATTATTTAAAGCACATGAATTGAAATAAATGGCCGTTAATGTAAATATTAATAACCTGAGAGACAAGTAAAAAAATTAAATTTTTGTAATTTTCGAAAAACAAAAGAATAGAGAAACATGGCGTTTATGTCACACGTATAGTGAATTTAGAACTATTCCCACCAAAAGTAAAGAAAATATTTGGAGTTATTTTTTGAGAAAATTGTGTCTTTTTTTAATTGCAAATATTGCACGCAATATGGCGCGAAAACAATAAAAAATTTCAAAAAAATAACCTTAATGAAAAAGCTAATTATGGACGAAAATTTTACTTGAAGGAAAAATCTCTATCTTTAATTTTGTAGCTGTAAAAAAACACCAATAATTAAAAATTTTGAAATTTTTGAAAATTCATCGTAAACCGTGAAAAAACGAGCTATGCCACTTTTATAAGTGTTTGTTATTCTATTCTTCCAAGAATTTTAAAGAAAAAATTTAAAGCCGTTTTTTGAGAAAATTTTGAAAATGTTGTAGAGGTTTCATGTAAAGTACCCTCAAATTTTAAAGAAAGTTTTTAAAAATCTAAAAGCTTCGACTCGAGCCAGATGGACAGGGATTTCATCAATTTGGAAAAAATCCCATTCATGCTTTTGGCGCTAGTATTGTTCACTGACGGACAAACGGACCTTTTGGATAGAACCACATTTTCGGTATCAGGGACCTCAAAATGTGTATTTCCGTTGAAATCTTTAAAGCGATTTTTCCAAGCATTAGATAACTTTCCCTATACTACGTATATTACGGGAAAGTAAAAATGGAACTCGCAGATGATCTTATAGCCAACTGCTGGCAACTCTCGGCTTGTGGCACATAAAAGCATTTCGAATCATCGAATGACACATCTCTAGTGTGTGAGGACGCAGCCTCTCCGGCCTCTTTTCTCATTTCTCGTCGTACGTTTACGCAACACATCCCTCGGTGTTGCCTGTTGCCGACCTAAAGAGGATGTTTCAAGCATCGTGAACTAGAGAGGGAGAGAGAGAAAGAGAGAGAGAGAGGGAGAGAGAGAGAATGACGGGGACAGAGAGAGAGACGGTGACTGAGGGATTGAGAGAGGGGGGAGAGAGATGAAGGGCAGAATAGCTGGGTTCCGCTAGTTATAAATATATGGTACAAATCAAATGATTCATAGTAAAATTCACAATTAATATATTAATTTATAAATTAATGTCAGTTAAGAAAAATAATATATTAATTCATTTCTTTCAAAATACCCTTTCGAGTTTCTTGCTTCAAAACTTTATTTTTATATTGCTCATTACGTACTGCTTTCTTATTACTCGCACATTTCTTATTACTCATTTTCCTGAAAGATGGATTGAAGAAATGCGGGTAGAGTGGCGGTATTAGTTAAGAAATCGGCCACTAGATTTTATGAAGCAATACCAATCTCTGGAGAATCAGTCATGTCTTCGCAACGTTCTTAATAATTTGCGTTCTAACTTTCTCAGGAGTTCGAGGTATCTCCTGTCATAGATCTTTACCTGCTTCAGTAATTTCTTTAGATTTTGGAGAAAATAACGGATAGAAGTTCTCGTCTTCAAAAGAAAATTGTATCTATGAAAGTGCCAGCGAAGATGTGTTTGGAATGTTGTCATCAGTACTCGCTGCGAGCTTTTGCCTTCATCTGTTTATTGTGCCAGACGGGGAGAAGCAAGATCATCGTTCAAGAAAAGTTGCGCGTGTAATACATGAAATTATATTTTCCACACAAGTTATTCCTAGTTCATTTCCGTTTAAAGAAAAAAATCAAGAAAGAAATTCAAGAAACTAGTTGTTTTTCACATCTTTTACTGGTAAATATTATTACCTCACACGTTTTAAAGCATTGTTTAGTGTTTTCGTGCGGCAGCGAATGTCATAAAAAATGAAGGAGTAGAAAATATGTCCGAGAAAACTCGTGGGGGTTGATAAGTATCCCTTGTTTCGATTTTCCACATTTCTCGTCACACGTCTCTGGAAACACATTTCTCGGTGTAATCTTTTGCGCTCCTATATTGACTTGTAGAGCTTCTTAAGTTCGGTCGGTTAGACGAGAGCCTTCGGTGCGTTGTCGATTGCCTTATTTGATTCAAGTAATATTCTGTTTTTTTTGGTAATTTGGGAAAGTATTTTGCGTTTCGATATAACAAATTTAAAGAATGAGTAATGTAAATAAGACATTTTCTTCAAAATTTAATTGTTTTAGGGAAAAAATTAAAGCAGGCATCAACTGCCCTTTTAGAACATTTTAGGTCCGATTAGAAGCTTTCAGTATATCTATTTTTTTAATGATTCGTAAACATCTGCAATACTTTTCCATCACATCCGAAAGAAACTAAATAGACATTTGCTCTAAAATCCGATGTCTAATAATCAGTTAACCAGAGTAGTACTAGAACTGAAAGTGTCTCTTTCGTCTGCGGTATAATTTATTTCTCAAAGCAAAATATTAAGACTAACTTCATTTGGAAAGATTTTTTATACGTAGATCTAACGGAATACTAACTTGCCTGTGGGCCTTATTTGGGTTAATATATCAACATCCTATTGATAGCTCTGAAATGTACTGAGTTCCCGTTCATTGTCAGAAATCAAATAAACCGCCTTATAGCAGGTACAGAGTGACCTGAACCGTTTATACGCTGGAGCCGCTGGATCATTGCGCATGCGTATTCATCAGCTGATGAGCAAGTAGACCATCTGCGAAGCAGTACTACAACAGTGATTGAGTGACTACAACACTACTACAAAAGTACTATTGAAGCGTGTGTGTGCTGTGTTGCAGGTGTATAGAGTAGCAGGTTGTGGCAGGTGGTCTCACTGCGTGAATATTGGTAACGTCAATGAACTTCAGTGACGTGATTTAATTCCCAATTTTGCGATGTGTTCTCAAGTTAGCAAATGATTTGAGCTTTAACGTGTCTGGATTATATAGAGCGTTTGTGTGCTTTCGGCAATTCACCATATTATCATGGAGCATTCGTGGTCTGGGAAATTGAAATCAGCTGCGGTAGTCGGCTCAGGCATTGCATTGAGTGCATGTGCTTATGCAGTATACTCTTATTTAAAAAGAAAAGATGCTAAAAGCATTGATGAAGGATTTGAAGATGTATCGAGAGTAAGTGTTGCATTTACGATTCGTGGTTATGAATGATTCATGAAAGGAAATTTAATTTGTGATATTCCATTTTCAGTTGGAAGAAAACCCCGAAAAAAGAATTCTGGTGTTGGGATTGGAAAACGCAGGAAAGAGCACAATTTTATCCCAAGTAACGTCTGGTTCACATAAAAACAACGACATTAAACCCACCGAAGGATTTAATGTCACCTGCCTGCAGAATGGTGGAGTTTCTTTAAATATTTGGGAAAGTAGGTTTTATTTATTTTTATTTGCAAGCTTCAGAAAAGATATAACTTGACATTTTAATTATTTATTTACATAGAACATAATTTTATTTATCTTCACTTAATATTGTACTGTAATCATCAATCTTTTTAAGTTAGAGAATGGTAGATTGACAGCCTAGTAATGCAATTATAAAGTAACTGCAGTATGCATAAAAAATTAACATAAAATATATTTAACAAAAAAAGGTGTAATACATAATTCAAGACATTGTAGACATTCTTTTTCTAAGGACAATTTTTTTTCAGTTGGAGGTGGTGAATCCTTTCGGCGGTATTGGAACAACTTCCTACAAGATACTGATCTGTTAGTTTATGTGGTTGATTCTGCTGACACTCAAAACCTTCCAGAGTCTTGTAAAACTATGAAGGCATTGCTTGGAGATGAAAGGCTTGCACATGTTCCTGTACTTGTTTTAGCAAATAAACAAGTTAGTTACTCCAGTTATATATTTTGCAATTAACTTACAGTAGTTTACAATTAATTTAATTTTTCAAATATTAACATTTTATTAAGAAATTTAATGTTTATTCTAGAAAATAATTTATTCATATAGTTACATTATTGTATTTTCATTATTTGCTTATCAAATAATGTTTCATTTCATTTGTAGGACCTTCCTGGAGCGTTGTCACCTGGAGAAGTTGCCGATGCTCTTGACTTGGGCAGTATCCCTTCATCAAGACATCATGTAAAAGTTCTTGGAACACAAGCTCCACCTAATTCTTTGCAGCGACATTCATCTATTGCAGAAGTTGAACACACACTCCTTCTCATGAGCAATGATAATTAGCTTTTTTTTAATTTTTTTTTTTTTTTTCTTTTGAAAGTTTATGCAATATGCACTGTTGCATGTTGTGCTGTGTAAGATATTACACAAATTTAATTTATTTTCTGGGTTTAGACACTTAAGACTCAAGCTTCTTGCTTCAATTTATATTTGATGTTTTAATTTTAAAACGTCTAGTCATTTCTGTAATGTGGATGATAGGATGAATTCCTTCATAGGAAAAATATCATCTCTATTGGCCAATTTCATACTAGTGTATGATGTAGGAATGAGATTCCTATTACAAAACATGGCTCTTTAAATTTTATACATCATTCTTTGTAAATGGAAGTGATTTCATATTTGTAGTTACAAGAGTGGTTGCAATTGTAAAAGTTGTGAAAAACTAAAAATAGTATGTCAGCAAATGATACCAAGATTACTGCAGTGCAACTTTGTTATGTTCATGGAATGAGCTTTTATCCTGTCACTATGAAAGTACTGTAATAGTTTAGGAGACTTCCTTTGTTCAGAGTGAACAAGTAGGGAAGGAAGAAACTAAGACTGCAAGAGACTGATTTTTAACACCATTCCTAAGGTTGCAAGAAGGAAACATTTCAGATGTTAAGCTTTCCAATAATTGTTCATTATTTAAAATGTTTGTTTAAAGTAATACTGAAAATCACTTGTGAAGTAAAGTTTCATTTACAGTTTTAAAGTTGTGTATAGCCTGAGGATTATGGTACTTTTGATGTATTTTTTTATAGGTTTCTTTTATTGGAGGAAATCTTATTTAAGTGATAAATATCTGAAATAAGGAGAAACATGTTCAGATCTTTATAAAGAATGGAAGTAATTTTATTGAAGTTAAATCTTTTATAAATTAAAAACATTTGAAGAGGTTCCAAAATGTTTCCTTTTTTTAATGCTTTCTCAATCATTTCATAAAACATTCCTTGCCATTTTTATTAATTTTTTGAATTGAACTGTCAAAATCACTGGAATTAGGTGTGTGTACTAACAGCAACTGGAAAATCCATTTATCTCATTGTTGATTATGTTGATTTATCGTGAAGGGAAATAATTGTTTCCCTTTGAACTGTTTAGATATATAATAAAATATTGATATTAATATATAACTACATCAATATTTAACAGAATATTTTCTTCCTTAAATAATTTCCTTTTAAATTCGTTTATTACTATGCATGACTAAAAGGTTTCAAGAGGTACAAGAGCTTGCCAGCAGCAGGGCTGCAGATCTTAAAATATTGTGACATGTGTCTCATTGCAGGTGCCTTAATCTTTAGGAAATTCAGCTTCATAGAAAAAAATATGAATGGACCTTTCAAGCTTTTTTGATCTCACAGCAAATAGTAATGTCCTGATAAGAAATTGAATCTTGGGCATCTAGCAAGCAGCCTGCTTTTATTGTGTATTAAGAGCTCCAAATCTTTTATTGTATTACATTTTCTAATTCATGTCAGTGTGAACAAACTTGCTGTGAAATTTTGGTAAATAATATTTAAATGTGATGAACAGGTATAATTTTGAGACAAATTTGGATGTAATAATCATTTGTTCTTGGGTTGAAAATTGCTAATTTCAATATTGAAACAGTTATGCCTTTGCTTGTTTATTTTCAAAAGAGTAATAAAAATAAAAAATATCAAGTTTAATTGATGCGTGATATGTTAATACAAGAGTTCGAAAAATCAACAGCTGTCTAAGAAAAAAAAAATTTTCAACTTGTTGAATAGCCTGTAAATATGTATTTCAGAATTATATTAGTATTCTTTGGAAAATTTTAATTTCCTCTTAGTTGTCTATATCCCGTTTTCTTGAATTATATACACTTTTAATTTGATGTAGGTGTATGTTGTTAAAACTTCAAATGAAATGTATGAATACACTTCTATATTTTTAAATTGTTATTGAAAGAAATATCTCTTGACCTAAGAACATAGGACAGAAGAGATGTGAATGAAATAAAAAAATTATACTGTTCATGATGTGTTACTGACTATTCACCTGTATCTATACACTGACATCTGTTCCTCTTGAACATTACGATGGAGTATTTTTTTTTTTTTTTTTTTTGCCTCTGCACTTATGGACAATGTATTTCAACTATAGTCTAGATGTTATAATGTTTCAACAAGCAATTATTTTTAATAATTTTAATTATAATGCCTCTCTATTGTGTGAGATTGTGTTTGAAGCATTGAATATTTTGCAGTGTTCTAGTTTCTAATATTTCCTAACAAATTTACTTAAACATGTTCAGAACACTTTCACAATTTTGTAAATGCTTGTTTTTTTGCTTAATATTTCATACTTGAAATCAGAAAAGAGTGTTGTAGTACATTTCTTGTAATCAGTGTGTTTTGGCATTGGCCAATTTCATTGTTATGCATGGCCTACTTATTGTTTTCATTAATGACTGGAAAAAATGTTGGTCCATTAAATAATAATAAACTTGAACTACATTCAATCAAACTTACCCCATTTTTTGAGTTTTCAGACAAGTCAATATGAAAACACTTGAAAACAATCTTTAAGAATGAAAAGTTGTGAAATGGAGATCAAGATTAGATGGAACATAAAATTAATAGAGTGAAACCTTTTCAAACAGCCTCCTTTATTGAGCAGTCACCTACATTATAGGCAACTGTGTTTGGCAGAACCAATTGGGTCTTCTTTAAGATAAGTAAATATTACTTTTTTCAACAGTCAGGGACATTTTCGAGACTGACCTTTATTAAACCGTCACCAGAAGCGATTTTGAATTGTATTATAAGAAGCGAAAAAATTGGATAAGACAATTGATTTAATATCTTCAAGAAAACATGATTTTGATAAATATTTGTTAATGAACCAACAATGTCTTCTGTTCGCCCACTTCACAGCTTTCTGATGATTTGCTAATTCGTGCTTCCCTTCTATGGGTAGCCTTATCGTTCAAGGGCTCGCGGTGCAGGCAGCATGTGCGATTCCACGGTTATCTTCCACCTTGGCGTTTCTGATATGGTCTTTCGCTGACACTCTCCTCAGGCGGTCCCGCTGGCGCTAGCTTCTACAGAGTGAAATGTGAATATTAAATGGAGATTCAAGTTTACATTGCTTATTCAATTCAGTGGAGAAGGAAAGTGTGTGTCTGGTCCCGACTCGCCACTAAGAGAATGAATGACAAGGGGCGGATTTTTATGACCTAAAACATCGCCAAAATGATCAATAAAACATTCTTAAAATGTATTAACGATACCTTAAAAGCAAAGAAAAATGACGTGAAAATGATCAAAGCCAATTCGGAAGAACAGCTCAATCTGATGGACACGTTACTGATGTAATCGTGGTTTCCTCTATTCGTTCAAGTGAACTCGGCTTTTGAACTTCGTTTTGAACAGTTCTTTAGCAGAAAATCGCATCTGTAGTTATCCCGGATTCCGTCATTGGCGTTGACAGGATCTTTTTATTACACACTCACTACGGCTGACAATTTTTGAGCAAAAAAAATCGAATAGGCTACTCAGGAATTCTGTGAATTACATTTGTTGCATCTCGTAAATACTATTTGAAGCAAGTACCAATTAAATTATATTAAAATCGATGAAATCATCGAAAATGCATAAAAATTACGGGGAAAATTAAAAAATGAAGAAGTCGACATCGACGAAAAATGCAAAAAATGACATACAAATGTGTCATTTCCTTTTGTCATAACATAAAATGAATTTCTTAATTAAACGGCATTTTTCTAAAGTGAAAAAATGACGTACCATTGCAATCATTACTGAAGTTACAAATTATTAAATTATATTTTATCATTTATAGTAATTGAAAATGTTTCAGAGACATACATAGCATACTCAATCATATCATAGCGATTAGCACATTTAGATTTGATTTGCGCTTCCAGAAACCATAATTAAGCGGCCATCTGTACTAACGCCAATTTTAGCCAAAACATTGGTGACTACTAAGAGAGTTTCACTGTTATCTTGTCAGTAATCGTATGTTATTTTTGCGTTCGAGAAATTTATCCTCTTTATCATACCCTAGTGCAGTGTGTAGAAGCAAGATTGAAGACCAAAGTTCATTCTCAACCCCTTTTCATGAACGCGAGAGATTTTAAATACGTACATACTTATTTATTGAACATCATCTCATTGTCCGTAATAATTATACATACAACACATACAATTACATTGATGTTCGGACTCTATAATCTAATGCTCCGTAAGTGGATTTTGGTGGGCTTGAGCACGGCCGACTTTACAAAACTTCACTTGTAAAGTAGGCCGCGGCGTGAGCTTGGCTAGGTAGCTTGATAGAATTCACGTTCACAAGAGGTGGAATCTATGCACAGAACAAGTGGAGTTATGGTATGTGTGCCATATGGGTTCTGTGAACTGACGATAATTGGTAGAATCATGATGTAAGAGAATATTTTTACATCGGGGAGAATCCACACATCAAAGAGTAATAACCGTGTACCATGAAGGAATATACAATTACAAAATCTATATTCCTCCGTGTTTACGTTCATCCGAAAGGGCACTGTGTAAGAAATTTCTTACAACGTCCCACCGCTGAACAACGCTATGGAATAATTATTCATCCATGGTGACACTTCATTCATATTCAGGATTCGTTTATATATCGTGCAGTGCATCAAAGATTCGTTCAGTTTCCTATGCTCGTACACTCCAATTTAAACATTATAGCACTGAAAGATCACAAGGTTAGGAGAGGGGAATACAGTTATCCAATCGAAAGCTTCAATACCAAGAATTGAAATCATAACGAAGCTTCGATTGGAAAATGTGACACTTCTTCGTTTACCTAGTGATCTTTAAGTGCCGCTTTTTTTAAATTGGAGTATAACTGTAAATTACGATTCGTATTATCTTTCGGAGGTTGTACTGCCATATGGAGTGTGGGAAATGTGGTAGAAAGTAATGTAGACATGGCTGAAAGAAAGAAAAGTGACACGTCAAGATCTGTCAAAAATTCACTTTTAACAGCTGCGGAATTTGGATTTCCGTATGAAAATTTTTCTACTGCAGCAGTTTTAGTTCCAGCGTCCCAGAATAACTCTTCGGTTTTGCTTGAAGGTATGAAATATTTATGATAATTTTACACAGATACATGATAATTTTTCATCTGAAAGAAACGTATCTGTTATGTCAAGTGTAAAATAAAAGTGTTGGAGAAATCTGCCATTTCAAACATTCGTGAAATATTGTGTGCACCGAAGCACTATTAATGTCCCCACCCACTCGTGACATCCTGCAATCTTGCTTTTATTGTTCTCTGGAAATTCAAAACAGATTGTTGACATACGTAGGGTACGTCGGTTCAAGCGATTTGAAATTCTTCACATACACATGTACTATAAATAAAACATAGTTGTTTTTTATTGAAAAAAAAATGTTTATTTTCTTCTTAAAATAATTACAATTGATATAAATACAATGCATGAAATTTACAAGTTCAGTGTTAAATATTCTTCTTAGTTAATTTCCTTGCATGCATCCTATACCTGAGCTAGCTGCTTACATGAGGTGTGTAGTTTGGTGTGAGTGAACAATATTTTAAAGTTAAATAAGTCTCTGTAGAGGATGAGATGCATCATTAAAAGTTAGTTATTTAAAGTTGCCTCATCGAGCTACTTGTTGTGTCTGGAATGTGTGAGTTGTCCTGTTCTTTTTACAGACAACCACAATTATTACTATAATAATGATGAGAATAATCAATGCTCCTACAACAATTCCAGCTATAACTCCAGGACTTAGACCAGTTGATTCTGAAAACAAAATATTACTTTTCTGTTATTTGTTTTTGGTTTTTGTAGATACTATATTTCCATTTTATATTTCTTACCATCATTAACATTAACAGTGTATCTTGCATGGTTGTTTTGTAAATCAGTAACAGTAATGACAACAGATTCTTCACAGCATGACGCTTTGTATTTGAGGGTGGTGGGTAGTTTTGTACCAATTACCATTGGAGTCCATATTACTCCATGTGGCACTGATGAAATTTCACGGATACCTGGTTGCATAAAAAAAAAAAAAATTGAAAATATTAAGAGGGCATAATTAATAGGGTATCTAAATAGATATCTTAAATTATTCATATTGTATGCAATCTTCTGAGAGAAGAACAAATAGTCATGAACAAACAATTATTGGTAACATTAGATCATATTTATTATTTAGATTGTGTCAGTTCATTGATTTTTGAACAAACTAATAAATGCTTTCTGAAATTCAGGTTGCTTCAAAAATATTTTGTATATGGCTGTCAATGAGTCTGTTATTGAAAGTTATTATTTTTGCATAGTGTCAGTGTACTTCACTGCCTATTAAAGATGCTTATATCCGTAATATTGCATAGGGCAAATGAATTAAGTTTTATAGTAGTACCTTTTACAAGGCAATATGTAGAGTATCCAGCAATGATTGGTTGATATAAATCAGCAACTTAAAATGTTCATGAAAATATTACATTATATTTGCTCATATGCATACAAGAGAATTTTGTCTAAAGTAGCAATTCAACAAATTACTTTATACTTCATTCAAAGTTTGCCTAAATTTAAAAAGAAAACAGAAAAACTGTATGATGAAAAAATATTGGTCTAATGGCTGAAGTAAAACTGAAATGTTTAATAGAATAAAATTTTTAAATCTGCATAAATACCATCCCGTCTTTCTCTTTTTGGTAACNCCCCCCCCCCCCCATGTCTTTGAATTTGCAATTCATTTTATTTTTGTCAATTACAAATTTGGTTTAAAAATGTAAATAAAGTCTTAAAACAATAGTTAATTATCAACCTTGAAAGAAAAAAAAAATTGATCCTTGCATTCAGAGAAATTTTGAGGAAAAACTATGCTGTTAAGTAATTTCGAGACACTGGGGATCCTAATGTTAGTTTAAAATAAATGTTTTAATGCCTGATATAATATTTGCAATATACTTTGTAATTGAAGTGTGTGAGTGTGTCGACTAAAGTATCCAATGTAAAAATCACTACTTATCAGGAGGGTCAGTTAATTGATTCAAACATATCAATAAGATCAAAGTTTTGACCATCACTTTCAGTAATTTACAGTTGGGATTTAGGAATTTCTAAAAGGAAATACATTCACTGTTGTTGTGGATATCTCCTCTGAAGCAACCGCATAATGACCATGATGAAAAACTGCCTTTTTTACATCCGATACTTAAGTTGACACAACAAAATACAATCATTTCATCATTATTAATCAGTATTTGAAGCCTGTGTTTACCTGAATCTTGATCCTGTACTGTGGCTTCCATAGTCCATTGCCTAGAACTGCAGCTTTGGATTTCTCTACAGTCATTAAGAATTTTATGTTTCAAAGAAGGCCTATTCGTATCTCTTGCTTCCTAAAAAAAACAATTACCCAAGTGATATTTTTACTGCAATGAGAAGTTAAATTCAATCTTGAAAATAACTAGGCAATTAAAAATAGTTGTTTCGTAAAGCCGACTGTTACTAATACATGATAGTGAAATCACTTATTAATACATACATAAATACTGTCCGCTATATTAATTTCCAGAAACAATTCAGAAACTGTGAGATCACCATATACTTGAATTTTCAGAGTTTCTCCTACTCCAACCAAATTTGGGGGTGCATATAAATGGAAGCTAACTGATCTTCTTTGGTTGGGATTTAATTGGAAACTGAAAGAGTAAAACATGTTAAGGATGAAAGTACTCAGATGCATGAAACATGGACAATACATGAGCATTATCAACACTTTGTGTATTCAGAATGTAATTTCTTACTTGGTTGGAGTCACCCTGTAAATGATGTTACGGGAACTGACCCCTTGTACGTATATTCTTGAGGGTCTACTTCCGTTGTTGGTAATGTCCAAGAACACTTGGCTCTGTGTCCCAGGCTGTATTGTTAAATTTGATGCTGCATTTAATGTGACTATAAGACTTCCAGTAGTTGGAATCTGAGGTGTAATTCTTGTGAATGCCTCACCTGTAATTGTCATGAAAGTGCAAAATTACTTATTTAACAGTGTGTGTTAAGTATACACATTTGGAAATGGAACTATGTCCAAAATATGATTGTGTTATGTCTTAATATTTTAGGTGATATGTTATGACATATTAATATGAACATCTTATGATATATTGATGAACATATTAGTGAACAAATGATATTAACATATGAATATATTCATAGATATGAACATATTAAAATATTCATAGGTGTGCACATGGAGAGGAGGCAGCTGGCGTGCCCCTCTAGAAAAATTTCAAAGGGGCCCTGGAGTCTTACTCAATGAAAGATTTCATTTCCTTAAATTTGCCCGATCCCTGCTTTTCCCCTATTTCAAATAACACTTTGGGAATTATACATTTGGAAAAGAGGATCTCTTAACCTATACCAACAGTAAACTGGCAACTCTATAGTTTAACTGTATAGTTTAGACCTCTGGCAGCTGTATAGTTCAACGTAAAATAAGTTGTATTCAATTCTGGCTGAAATGGCTCAGAGGCAGCATTACTGTTGTCTCTGCAACGACTCTCCCTAGGAGGTCCTAGGATTCGAGGGACGACGGTGGCGGATTTTCGATCCTAGCTTCGTCGGATTCAGTCGCGGTGTGGAAGAAAGTTCTAGCCGCCGGCTACTCTGATCGGCATTTTTCCGTGGTTTCTCCCATCAAGAGGCGAATACTGGAGCAATACCCTTTCATATTGGCAATTTCCGAGCGCGATCTCTCCTTTTTCCATCTTTTTCATCGCCCCTTCCATTTTCTCTCTCTCTCACTCACTCTCACTATCTCACT